AAGATTACAATTGCCCGGTGACTTTAATATCAAATAAGTGAATTGGCGGATGTTTGGATTATTGGTGGGGAAATCAAATCGGTCAACATAGCTGAAAGGCTTGATTATATAGGCTTGGGAAAGAGTATCGATTCAAAATTATCTACTAGAAAGTAAAGAAGAACAAAAATTATGTAAAGTTGATGAAGTTTAGCTGGCAATTGGCATGTAAAGAGTAGTGATGTATGTATGCTATAATTTGAGGGTCTCGATGTAGAAGCTGTTCAAGAAGCTCTTCTTCTAAATCAATTTGAGTTCCATGGTCGCCAATTGATGGTGAGATGAAGATGTCTTGTGTAACAACATTTTTTCGTTCACATGTCCAAGAACCAAAATGATTGTATACATTATTTCATTTAAACCTTGTATGGGGCGTGATGTTAATATTTGCCGGTAATTGTAATGCAATATTAGGTTATATATTTTACATTGTACCTTTTTATAATATTGGGTGTAATTTTTATATTTAGCATCTTACTTTGATAAAAAAAAATCAGAAGGCATGATGTTCATTTCTAGCGTCCTATTTTGATGGATTTTTTTTTCATTATTTGATTTAAACCTTGTATGGGGCGTGATGTTAATATTTGCAGGTAAATGTAATGCAATATTAGGTTATATATTTTACATTGTACTTTTTATAATATTGGTTGTAATTTTTATATTTAGCATCTTACTTTGATAAAAAAAAATCAGAAGGCATGATGTTCATTTCTAGCGTCCTATTTTGATGGATTTTTTTTTTCTTCAAGGTCTAATTTGTAATTTTTTTTCAAAGGTTTAATTTGTAATCGGAAAAAAATATCATTTTTCATTCACTACGACAATTCAAAAGTTCCAACCAAACATCACATTAAAAAAATTTCTCTTAAAAATTCATACATTTTTAAACATAAAAATGATATTTTTTATTTGCAAGCCAAACATCACATTAAAAAAATTTCTCTTAAAAATTCAAATCATAAAAATTCAGATTTTTATTTGCAAGCCAAATAACCCTAACTATTGCCATTTTTAAACACTAAATCCATTATATCTTTTAATTCAACTCAAATTAAATGTTGACATTGACATGTTTGTATAACAAACTAGTTTGATAATCTTGGGACCTCTTTTTTATTATGCTCAAAACCTTAATTATGTTTGGACCTACCGAGTCCCAATCTTATGAAGCACCAAACAAGTACTATACCGACATGGAAAGATGCATTGTAAAAAATTGAAAAATAATAAATCTTACCATCAACGATTCAACCCGTCCTAAAGCCCATATGAGATTTCATTCATTCAATATATACTACCACTATTTTACGTGTATCAAAGTTCCAACTCTAAATCTGTATGAAATTCTCAATCAAATGTCAGGAAAATATGCATATCAGCCGAATAAATCGAAGGTTCAGATCCTACTTGGAACAATATATGTAGACAACTAGACATAGATGTGGTTTACTGAATATGTGAGTTTGTATTGACGATTCTTTTACGCACGCAAAGAGGCAAACAACAAACACCAAAATCCAATTTTAGCATATGACACCGGACTTGTAAAATAAACGAAACATGCATTTTCTTTATAAAACAAAGCACTACAACAAGCACATAAAAAAAAGTTCCAAGTAACACAAACCTAAAACAACTTGCCACACATATTTACATCAAATATATACAACACAAAAGAGACAAACATTCTCTCTCTCAAAAAGACCAAATACCCGAACACATTTATATATATATATATATAACTCCTAGCTAAAACCGATATTGCACTCTTGGAAGCTAAAGAAACCATGGATCTGACACGTCAGAATCAGATCTCACAGGTCGTAAGGAGCACGAGGGCTCCGGGTTCCAATCCCGCTTGCCTTCTCGAAAGCGTCCGATGCAGACTTCCTACGAAACCTAAATGCCTCTGATCTGCCTCCTGACCATCCACCATTTTCATTAGCTCAAATATTTAACTTTTTAATGCAACCCATGCAATCTAACATACACTATTATAGTTCTCATTCAATAATTTTAAATTATTCTTCATTAAATCTTTCATCACATTAGATTAAAAATTGTTTCCCTATTTACCCAATTCTGGTATATTATAGTGGGCAATAATTCCAATTATTATTAACAATGTCATTTTCATGGTGGTAGACGGGAGATAAATATATAATTGCAATTTGCAAAGAAAGAGACAAATATGCATCGGTGTTTTCCAACATCCTACTAGAAATAGTCAAATGCGGTTGTAATTACTAAATTACCCTTGCTCCAATTACCCAGGATCATTCTAGATCACTGCAGCTGGAAGGTCTGTTTCAGGTAAAATGATAAAAACGTACTTCTTACCAGGGAAAGGAGATACCGGAGTTGTAGATCCGGCGGGAGATGCCGGCGGCGTGTCGCTCAGAGTTCTTTCAGGTTTTACGATCATTATACTGCGTGTTACTCTCATCGCAGGATCCTCTACTGCCGTATTCGTCACCGGCGGCGATTCTGCTTCAGAGAGAGTAAATGAATTTGTTCAGTTTTTGAGTACAGATGGTTACACTTTTGGATTTGAGTTTTTCATGAAAAAAGTTAATATTTTGGTTTGATACACATAATCTCTGACATAAAACCCTAGGTTTCAGGATCTCGTTAATCCATAATACTTCAAAATTTTGGCCACTGATCGGTATCAGAAATTATCATACAATAACAAAAGGAATCAATTAAATAATATAAGTATTTGATTAATTATAATTAAAGAAAAATTCGCGCCAAAATAAGACCTGATGATCACAATAAGCGATTGAGATCAAGAGGACTTTAACTATTAAGATAACGGAATTTTCTAAGTAAAAGGCTATAATAATTATACGTGTTAACATATTCTTTTAACAAATTTTACAGTTCAAAAACGGCAGGTATCAGCGTACCCTTGCCGGAATCCGATGACCGGAAACTAAAAGTAGACTGTTTTCGCAGCTTTCCGAGGCCTTTATCCGGCCGAGGTCCGGCGACTGTGTCATCCCAGAGTTGGTCGAGTAAACTCATAGCAAGAAGATGAACAGATGACCTAACAGACACTCGTAAACAGCTCCTATGAAGATTGAGTGGTTTCAGAGAGTGGCAATGGTGGTATTTATTGACGAACTTAGATTAAACGTCGAATAAGTCGTTTATACTGGTATTTGATCGTGGCCGTTGATTTTGGATACGGTTTACCTTTATACGCGTAAAGATAAGATCAGTGTCAAAAATTAGATGAGACTGCCACGTGACACGTCTATTTAGTAGAGGTAAAAGGTCACGAGGGCCCTTTACTTTATTGATTTTTAATGGGCATTGCCCTTGGATTATGTGAAAATTACGAGAATGGGACTGATGGTCTAGCCGCCATTGCAGTGTTGACACGTATAAATCAGTTTTGGGGATCTTCATGTGGGTGCCCTTGTACGTTGGTTAAATTTTCAACAATGCCCTTAAGGACTTGGTAATCACAAATAGGCACCCAATAAAGTTATACATGGATCGGTACTTCTCTTAATTTGGTCATTTGAGTGTGATATATATATATATATATATATATATATATATATATATATATATATATATATATATATATATATATATATATATATATATTATATATATATATATATATATATATATATATATATATATATATATATATATATATACACTAGCCGTTACCCACGCACAACGCGGGGACAAATAGCTTCTTTCAACGATATTTTTTTAAAGAAAAATATTATGTTCCAAAAGAAAGTTCATGTCGTGGGTGAGAGGAAGGGCGGTAGTCATGATAGTGGTTGGTTGAAGGCGGAAGGAGGCAGAGCGGTTGTGGTGGTGGTGGTTATACTGTCTTGGTTACTGGTTAGGGTTCTTCGAGAGAGTGTGCGTATATTTCTTACTTTGAAGGGATTACGAAGATAGATATTATAAGATGGCTTGTTACCAATGTGAGAGAAGAGATCCTTTATAAATTGTTGACATTGACCGCTTCAAATGGTTGAAGTGTTGAGATTGACGGGTTCAATTTGCAAATGAATTCTTCTATTAATTTGATACGAGATTTTTAGGGGATAAAGGATAGGGTTAAAGTTTTAATATTATTATATTATAAATGGGTTGTACTTCAAGCATTATAGTTTGGACGTCTTAAAAAAATAATATTATTATATTCAATCTATTTATAGAAATAGTTAGATTTCTTTTATAAGTAATATATATATATATATATATATATATATATATATATATATATATATATATATATATATATATATATATATCAAGGATCATTTGAGAACTCATATTTTTCCGAAAACCTGAAAACTAAAAGTGAACCGTTAGATTAAACAGTTAAGGGCTAAGATCTTTGATGACAATTTTGTATATAAATAGAAAAAAAAAACAAGGAAGGGTATCTTAATAAAATAAGATAAGGGCATTTAAGGGAATAGGTAATTAGCTCCCCAAATAAACATATCAGATCGTGATTAGTCTTTCTATCGCTCGCTCCCTTCTCCGATTCTTCACCGACTCCATCGACTTCCTCCCTCTTCGTCGACCCCTCCCTCCTCCCTCTAACAACCACCCTACCTCTAGCAACAACCACCGCCTTCATTGAAGATTCTCCGATGATTGATAGATTTAACATCACAGTGGTTGCGTCATTCTTCCCTCTCGAAGTTTCGTTCCCTAATAAATCAGCTAGAGGTCCAATCGCTCCGAACCTCCCGATTCTCCTTCACCTCTGATCTTCCGGTCTCTGAGCCAGAGGACGACTCGATGTTCGGAAGCAACAACATCGTTCGTTTAATCTAGAGTTGTCGCTTTCTCGCCTTCAGATCTGGACCCACAATCGATCCATATTTCGTAGTCGTTATCATCAATCGACATGGAATCCAAAATCCTCCAATGATCTAGGCTTAATTGTCGTTGATCATCAACAATTCATGCTTAATTGTTGTATTCCATCAACCATTGAACAAGAATTAGAAACTAATCCATTCATGCGATCTAATCTACCTCAACTTCAGGTACTCTTGATGTTTTTTTTAGTTTTTTTAGGGATATATGAAGGCAAACCTTGTCCTAGTGGTCCAAGATCTACCTTATGTATACCCTCACAAGTAAACCATTACCCTATCCTTTCCTTCCAAACCGATATTCTTTCCTGATTTGAGTTCTTCGGTTGATAGATTCAATCGACATTTTGCTCTATATCACAACACATATATGTGAATCATTCTCTTTAACAGGTTGGATGCAAAATGGGTTGCACATTCTGTGCAACTGGAAGTATGGGATTCAAGAGCAACCTTTCAACAGGAGAGATTGTAGAACAATTAGTACATGCTTCTCGATTATCGCCCATTTGCAATGTTGTTCCCATGGTAAATACCTCAAAAAAAAACTTGTTTTCCTTGAAATTTATGTCACTACAACTGATACCATCATCTTGTATTCAGGGAATGGGAGATCCATTAAACAACTACAATGTTTTAGTTGAAGCTATTCGAGTAATGACAGCATTCCCTTTTCAACTTTCACTCAAGAAAATTACTGTCTCAACGGTTTGTTTTGCTTGCTCCATTTTACATTCTTAATATTAGTCTTTTTAAGAACATTTCTGGATTCATATCTATCGTTCTCATAATTTCTTGTAGGTTGGAACAATTCATGCAATAAACAAGCTTCATGGTGACTTACAAAATATAAACCTAGCAGTGTCTCTTCATGCCCCAGTTCAAGATATTATGTTTCAAATAATGCCTGCAACTCGCGCTTTTCCTTTAGAAAAACTTATGAATGCTTTAGCAGAATATCAAAAGAAAAGGTAGCTCTTTCTTTGCTTCTTTTATTAATTTCCTCAAAGTGTAAAATTACTAAAATCCCTTCTGGATGGTGTGAATGATGAGGAGCAGCATGCCCACCAGCTTGGTAGATTGCTTGACACATTTGAAGTGGTGAGAATGAGATTCAAATTTTTTTTAGAGTAAATTACAATTTTGGTCCCTGAGTGTTGCTATTTTTTTTCAATTTTGTTCCCAAAAACTTTTCTCTTGCAGTTTTTGTTCTTATTTACATGTGATTCACATATGAATCACATGTTATTCACATGTTATTCACATGTAAATCACATATAAATCGTATATGAATTAGATGTGATTCACATGTAAATCACATGTGAATCACATGTAATTCATATATGAATTACATGTGATTCACATGTAAATGATATATGAATTACACGTGATTCACATGTAAATCATATATGAATTAGATGTGATTCATATATGAATTACTTGTGAATAACATGTGATTTATATGTGAATCACATCTAATTCATATATGATTTATATGTGAATTATATGTAATCTATATGTGATTCACATGTAATTTATATATGATTCACATATAAATTACATGTAATTCACATATTAATCACATGTAAATCACAAGTGAATCACATATCAATTACATATGATTCACATATAAATCACAAGTGAATAACATATGAATTACATGTGATTCACATGTAAATTAGTAGTGAATCACATATAAATTACGTTAATATGCACACATGCATTTTGTGTAAGCAGTCTTTGTTAATTATTTTTTTTCTTGTGAATTTCACATTTGAATCTTAAAAGATACAATCACATGTGAATATCACATTATATGATCACATTTGAATCTTACATGATATAATCATATGTGAATCTTAAATGATATATACTTGTGCATTTTTTCTGAGTGTTTTTGCATTAATCATTTTTTTTTTTAAATTTTCTTGTAGGTTTTGAAGAATTTGATGAAAATATTGAAGAGATAAAAAGTGTTAAATTGCAGAACATATAGAAATATTGATATGAAGAAATGATAACATTATGAATCTTTGTAGTTTTTTTATATTTTATTTTGTATCGAATAAAATACTTGTATGATGTTTATAGATTGATTAATAAAAATGAGATTTTTATAATTTACTTACGAATATTATAGTATAAGAAATATGCATATATGCATTTGAAAAAATATGCATATATACACCTAAAACGTTGATTTTTTTTTTGTTAAAAAATGCAGTTTTGAAAAAAACTGCACTTTTTTTTTTTATAAAAATTGCATTTTTTTTTATTTTTTAAAATCCAGTTTTTTCTGAAAAAAATGCTGTTTTTTGAAAAAAAAAAGTTGCTGTTTTATTTGAAAAAAAGTGCAGTTTTTTTGAAAAAAAAATACAGTTGTTTTTAGAAAAAATGAAGTTTTTTTTTTTGAAAAAAAGTTGCAGTTTTTAAAAACAAAATACTTTTTTTCATTTTTTTTAAATTCATGTTTTTTGAAAAAAATTAAAAAATCTCCATTTTTTTTTAAAAAAATCGAAAATTATTAAAAAAAAATATGAAATTTTGAGTTATTTTGTTAACTTTTAGACATTTATATTAATATATTAAATAGCACAAAAAACTTAAACATTAAATAAGATTGGTAAAATGACGATCATGTCCTTAACGAATTGCTTTTGATCCAACGCTCCACTTTTAGTTTCGGGTTCTCGGAAAATTTTGAGTGCTCAACCGTGTGTATATATATATATATATATATATATATATATATATATATATATATATATATATATATATATATATATATATATAAAGCCAAATTAAGATAATGATTAAGAACTTTTAGCAAAAAATTGGGAATTGTTACAAAATAGCCCACGAAACCGTAGGTATTTAGATTGGTCTATTATTTCGATAATTCATCTACTGTTTTGTGTTTTGTATAATTTTTTTTTCATTTTCATGATATAAAACCGTAGGTTTTTTTAAAACCTATTGTTTGCTCTGTATAAACTATGGTTTTCCAAACCGTAGACTATAGTTTTGGAAAAATATACGTTTTTTTTTTTTTTTTTTTTTTTTTTTTTTTTTTAAATTCTATGGTTTTGGGGTTTAATCTACGTTTTTTATTTTTTTAATAAAGAGTATTTTTTTTGAGAGTTATTTTGATTAAAAAGATTGTTTATAAAATGTAGAGTTGTTTTTTGATAATTATTTTGTTAATTTTTTTTTTGTAAAATATAAAATAGTTTTTTAACAATTAATATTTTTTTTTTTGCTAAAATGTAGATTACTTTTTAGAATGTGTTGACTAATTTTTTTGCTAAATTTAACTACTTTGTTGCTAAATTTGACTACTTTTTTTTTTTTTTTGTTAAACTTGACTATTTTTTTTTATCAGAGTGGACTACTGCTTTGAACCTATTATATATATATATATATATATATATATATATATATATATATTATGAATTACATATTTGTGGAGTTATTTTATAATTGGGAAAGTTTTTTCTTCTCTAACTTCTTTATTCTCAAAAATTAACATAATGAGTTGTAACGAGTATTTTGTATTTCTCATTACGGATGGAAGATGAAAGTTTGTTAATTTACAATCACCATATGTTTGGCCACCGGGATACAATCCAAGAATATTTTATTTAAGTGTTGAATTTTACAAAACCACCTCGTTCACCGAATTTGTTCATTTGGTGAAGTGCAAGATGGGTCTTCCCAAAGAATCAAAAGTCAGTCTGGCTTATCAACATCCATAACAACTCTATTATTGTGGTATTTGTTGGAGTAATATCCCTTAATGATTAATAGATTCAAGCAAAAAAACAATAAATGAAACAATAAAGAACACAAGAATGGTTTGAATGATGTCGAATGATTAAACTTTAACACCCCAGAAGAGCTCGATGAAGAACTTCGACTGTAGAGGTGCTTAGGGTTACAATGCAAAAGATAATCAATGACTAGCGTACTAAGGCATACATGCATGCACTATATATAATACGTAACCCTAATCTATAATTACGGTTGGACAAGCCCAATACCTGATATACAAAAGACTAGCCCATGACGCAACACATAATACCCAACAATCTCCCCCTTTGCATCAATGGAGCCGAGAGCTCAGTTCGGTTGAGTTATTGCTGACTTCTTCACAGTCTTGAACACACCCGGTATAATGGCCAAAATAGTTTGTTTGAAAGTAATATACCACCGGAGCATGTCTGTGAAGTTCTTCTTATCTGACTGGGAATTTGCCTTGTACCGATGAATGATATTTATGATGTGCTATAGGTAGTTAGTAGAGAACAAATGTTACCAGAGCAAATATGAACCTTTCCCCTCTGGCCCTTGTAAACATAACCGTTGGGTGAGCAGAATCGATTTGACCGAGAGTCAGACATCTCCTAGTTTTCTAGTTGGCTTCACCGTCAGTTTCTTCCTCAAGACATTAGCCACTTCCTGATCCATTTTTGCAACTTCATGAATATAACAAGCTATCATTCGTTTAAGATGGTCTAAAATTGGTCCATACTCCTTCGCATCAGTTAGCAAAATGTTGAAGAGCAGGATCCAATCACGAGGATTTAGTTTGGGAAGGTCTGCTAGGGAAATGATAGAAACTGAGTTATACGAACCTCAATATATCTTGAAAAAAGAGACATTAATAAACTTCCCTGTAGGCGATGGATTTAGTACCTTGACCGTGGTAATCTTCTGAGCACTCCAGGTCAGATGCTGAGGATGGGGAAAAAGGACTTCAACAGTCGATTCCAAGTAGTGAAAAACAAATGCCTTTCGTGTTATAGGCATATCAAACTGTGAATCCCTAGTGTTATCACAGTCAAATGAAGTCACAGGTTCCAGCCAAAGTGTGCTTGGAGACTTTATGGCTTCTTTGATCAGTGTCTCCCTAGTCCAAGGAGGGAACAACATTTTCTTGAACCTTAATGCATCATCCTCTTCTTTCTTCTTCTTTTCTCTTTCCTCAGATTCCTTAGCAACCCGAAGATTTTCATCTATCTCCTCATCCCTCTTCTTTCGTTTCAAGATCTCAGAGATAGTTTCCTGATCCTCGTCACTATCATCGTTTCCTTTGACACCAGAACCCGAAGCTAAGTATTCCTTCACTTCGGTTTTGACCTTCGGTTTAATTGGAATTGGTTGTGGCTTCTCTTCTTCTCCCCCTTGTTTCGGAGGAACAATCCTCTCCGAAACACCCTTCATTTCCCGTAAACGTTCAAGGGATGGAAGGAGTTTGGAGGTCAGATGATTGTGAATGGTAAGTGTCAGAATGGGATCATGAGCCTGAAGCACGTTGTGTAACTGAGACAGAACATCTCCAACACAAGTGCGAAAAATAGCTCTTTCGGTTTTTAACAAGGAAACTTCACATTCTGTTTTGGCTAGTTCGGCTTTCTGTACCTCATTGAGGGCAGTCTGTTGAGCAAGATCATCTCTGAGTTGCCTTTCCAGAAGAAGATCAACAGTGAGCTTTTCGAACCGAGAGTCAAGAGAAGACAAGAAGATCTTCTTGTCAGTAGAGATGTCGGAACGAACAGTCTCAAACTTAGTTTGTTCGACTTGAAGGGATTGAGAAAGCGAACCGATGGACTTGGTGACCTTGGCAACATTTGAATCAGCTTGACCCTTAAAAGATTCAAGAAAAACCTGAGAGTCACGGAGAAGATCTTTAACATCGGAAGTGGCTTGTTTGCACATAGAAGTAGAATCATTGATAACGGTAGTACATTTTTCGATTAATTCCGTATATTGGTGCAGAGTTGTATCCATGAAGGCTTTGAGAACAACATCATTATATTTCTTTGTTGAATCGAGCAATGTATCAAGTTTTTTGTGAACACTGTCGATTTGTTGCTTGGTTGCAAGAGCAGAGTCATCTTCCTCACTGGGAATTCTGTAGGGGCTATAGTAAGTAGAATCAAACTCAAACTCATCTCTTCCAAGAACTGGATTAG